CAGGCGTAGAACCAGTCAAATTGACAGGAACTCCACCTCCTGTTACCAAACAATATCCGATCAATAAGGAAGCTATACAGGGAATCAAACCTATTGTAGAAAAATTGCTGAAGCAAGGAGTGCTAGTTAAAACCAACAGTCCCTGTAACTCACCCATATGGCCCATCAAGAAATCCAATGGGACATGGAGACTCACCATAGACTACAGAGTAGCCAATAAACATATTGATAAAATCACCCCCTAGTAGCAGATCCATCTACAATTTGTAATGACTTACCATTAGATTGTAAGATTTTTTCAGTAATCGAATGTCTAATGGATTATTTTCTGTACCCTTGCACCCTGACAGCCAGGCATGGTTACCTTTCACAGTTGACTATGAACAATACCAGTGGACACGTTTGCCCCAGGGATTTCAGAATTCTCCTAACTTATACCATCAGGCTGTCAGACGTGATTTGTGTGACCCAGAATGTCCAGTCAAACAGTCCACTATGATTCAATATGTCGATGATATTTTGATCGCCTCCACAGACCACGAGGTACATCAAACTGAATTGGCAGCATTGTTGGACTATTTGCAGAATAGAGGACACAAATGCAGCTTTCACAAAGCTCAAATTGCTAAAAACCAAGTCACATTTCTGGGTCAAACAATTGGTGCAGGAAATAGATCTATTACACAGGATCGAGCCACTTTAGTCAAAGCCATACCTCCACCTACTATCATTAAAACACTCCGATCATTTTTAGGAACAGCAGGTTACTGTAGACCTTGGATTGAAGAATATGCCTCAATTGCTCAGCCTCTCTATGACTTGTTGAAAGGCCAGGTTAAAGATTTCGATACTATTTGTATGGAAGGAATTAATCTCAAAGCTTTCAATGATTTGGAGAGAGCACTATGTCAAGCACCAGCATTAGGAATTGCACAATCTGATAGGCCCTTTGTGCTTTATGTACATGAACACTTAGGCTTTATGACTGCATGTCTAATGCAAGATCATGGGGGCAGTTTACGCCCAATTCATTACTATTCTGGTAAACTTGACATAGTCGCTCAAGGGATGGGCCCGTGTCTTAGAGCAGTGCAGGCAGTTCATCTAGCTCTTCAGGCTTCATCAGGAATGGTGTTAGGACAGACTGTAAATGTAAGATGCCCTCATGCAGTGTCCGCACTAATGAATCAAGCAAAAGTCACTTCTGTCACCTCCTCTCATTGGGGAAATTGGTTAACAACCCTCACAGCCCCGAACATTGTTTTATAGCATCCGCTAGTCACAAACCCATCCTCATGTATGATGTCTGTGTAACCAATGTCACCGATTCTAATTCTGCAATACACACTTATAAAATGTCAGATTTAAGACACAGTTTAAACAAATTTTGGACCAGTCACAGAAGACTAAGTGCGACTCTCTGGAGGAAAAAAAAATACACAGCAAGAGCAAGAAGAGAATAACCACTCAAAGGTAAGTATTACCCATAGAAACTATGTATTTTTGTACCTCTTTTAGATTTTTTTCTTAGTAACTCTTCAAATGAAACGGGAAAAAAACTGAAACACCATATAAACAACAGTATGTGTCTCATTCAATTAGAATATCAAATGAGAAATAAAGACAATGTCTCAGTTCAAATTCAGTGTCTCAGTTCAAATTCAAGGAAAAGAAAATAAAAGAATGAAGAGGGGTCACGTGAAAAAATTTAATAGTGCCTTTAGTCCATGAAAAATTCTCAATCCAGCGGGTCCGTAATGAAGGGGGAAAAAATTAGTTCAGTCCAGTAAGAAGAAAAAAATAAAACCCGAAAGTGATTAAGGGAAAAAAAATGGTTTGTCCTACCAATCAATATTTCACACTCTTGAAATAATGTCACCAGGTACGAATCAGATGGGAATGGCTCACCAGTCCAAGCAACGTGCACACAGCAACAGGCAAGGGCAATTATTAGACGACAATCTCAACCACTGGAGCTCGGGATCGACAGCAGTAGAAACACTCACACACATATGCACAGAAAGAAAAGGGAAGAGAGAAGAAAAAAAAACCCGGCCTTGCAAACACAAAGCCAAAATAACAATCATTAATCACATTTTTCAAATATTCACACTGTCACATCTCATTTCACTTTCAAATAAACTTAAATTCAAAAACTGTCTGTCTGATTAATTTTACTCTCCTCATACACGGAGAACACATGCTAATCAACTCACATGCGGTTGATACACTAGAAATCTATGTACAGGGTTAGCAACCTAGCACCTCGTGGTAATGAACTTCACCGAGAAAAAAAACGAATCTCGCATATATATTAGGGCTGTGCGATTAATTTCCTAATCGCAAAGCCTGCGATATGGACGCGATACTACTTTGTTCCAGAGCATATGCATGACTGCCAGCCTTGACTTGCAGTCTTACTAACCAATAGAGTGGGCGCACCTCCGTTCTGCCCAATCAGCACTGCTCTAGCCAACTGAGTAAACACCCACCATAAATTTAAAAAAAAGAACGCGGGAGAGAGACAGAGTGGGATTATGGCGTCTACTGGGTCAGATCGAAAGTTAGGCAAATTAAAACTAAAGAAAAACGTACGCAAGTTAAGCTTCGAAATGACAGACAACCAACAAAAAAGGTAATTTCCAAGAGCTGCGTCACAGCGCATATCAAAAGCTACCTTATCGGTTCTGTTTTCAGTACTGGAGATTAAAAGATACATTCTTAGATGTTTTTGTTAGTACGTGAACGTTATCTTGCACATTTTATCTCCCCAACAGATTCATTTGAATAAATTTATGATGCATGTTCGCTATTCCCAATTCAGAAGAGCGCACACACAGCCTGTGTCTGTGAATGCTTCTCATACTCGCTCCTCTCTGCCCCACGTGGCACGAATCCCGCGTCACGGATGAGCTATTCACGCTTGCCGCACACACGTAGCCTGTCTTGTAATGATTGTTTATACTCGCACCCGGCTCCGCACCGCAAGTCTCCACGAGCGCATCTGGCAGTATGGATGAGGCTTGACGCTTGCGCGCAATCTGTGTCGACTCGCGCCTGGCTCCGCGTTTAAACCGAATGTAAATTCAGTCTAACTGCTTGCTAATTTCACTTGGATGCTTTTAAAATCCCAAATACTTAAAATGAATAAATCAGCCTATGTAACATATGTAATACTTTAATAATTGACTTAAGAAATACAGTTATTTATTTATAAAAAATAAACAAATATTTTCTGTGAAATTCAGTAATTAAGTTAATTCTGTAAAAGTAGTTATACCATTGTAATCTTGCCTCCTGAAAAAAAAAAACCAATAGAACCCCTCCCAAACCACAATAACAAATTTAATGTATTTCAGGTTATAATGGGAATTTGTTTGGTTTTAATGTAAACTATAATGGTGTCTATTTGATGGATTCTATTGGTGGGATGTAATCTGACAGATGGCAACCAATAGAACAACAGTAATTCCTATTGGAATAATGCCCAAAACAAAAAGGAATTTTGTAATGGTTTAATGGAAACTATAAGAATTTCTGTGATGGTTTCTATTGTTTTTTTCAGCAGGCTAATGATACCCATACTGTGCTGCACATTATTGGTAATATTGAGCTGAAGCTTGACTTTGCAAATTTAAAATCGCAAATCAAATCGCAATCGCAATATCTTTAAAAAAAAAATCGCAATTTGATATTTTCCCCCAAATCGCACAGCCTTAATATATATATATATATATATAAATATATATAAATACACATTGTTTTTCCAACATTAAACACTTTTTATGCATTTACCTTTTTTCTCATAACTCTACATTACATTAACGCAGTTCTCCAATAAAACTGCAAACACTTCACCATTTCCATATATACAAATACATTATTCGAATACACAATCTCACATTCAAAACCTATTTTATAAAGAAAATATTACTCACCAAGGAGAAAATAATCCATATAAAGAAAAGGGAAAAAATTAAGCGATTCTATTAAACACGTTGCTTCCGCTTCTCTTTGCGCAAATCTTCTTTTTTTTTCTACTTAAAAGTATCAAGACTAAAATCTTGTGTTCAATACAATCCAATTTCAAAAGTTTCTCAATTTATATGTTTATCTCTCATTATCTGAGCTCTGTAAAGCAAACACACTCGTTTGGTTTCTCTCACATCTTCTCTCTCACGATCTCTAGGGGCGGGACTAACCTCTAGCTTCATCCAATCAGCGATCTCAGATTACTCTGACTAGTTTCAATTTGGATAAAATAATTTTTTTATTCTCTTATTATTGGTATAACATTTTGAGTAGAGTTGAGGATATTCTTTCTATTCTACATATGAAGCATAAGATTTTTCCAAGCTTCTATTTTAACTTTTTAGTGACCTGGGTTACAAGTTGTGTTAGAGGATGAAGGTGAAATGACTCACGATTGTGTTACGCTCACATATGCAGCTACAGGTGAAATAACAGAAACTCCCATAGAGAATGCAGAATTTGAGTTGTTTGTTGATGGTTCAGCTCAAGTCATTGAGGATAACAGACGAGCAGGTTATGCTGTAACTTTCACCACTGAAGTTGTAGCTTCAGGCCGTCTTCCAGATAATTTTTCAGCTCAAGCTGCAGAACTAGTAGCCTTAACTAGAGCATGCACGCTAGCTTCAGGATTAGTTGCAAATATCTACACTGATTCTAGGTATACTTTAGGGGTGGATCATGATTTCGGTGTCATTTGGCAAAGTAGACAGTTTCTAACTTCTGCTGGATCCCCCATTAAGCATGCTGGATTAGTGAAAGATTTAATGTTTTCCATGAAACTTCCAAAGAAATTAGCGGTGATCAAAGTGAAAGCACATCTCACAACTAATACTATGGAAGCTAAAGGTAATGCTCTTGCTGATGTAGCTGCTAAACAGGCTTGTTCCTATGCAACTGTACAAGTGTGTTCAGGTAGTACAGCACAGAAGACAATTCTGCCTCCTGAATCAATTATTGATCTGTACAAAGACGTTCCTCTATATGAAGCATGGACATGGTTAGACAAAGGAGACACAGTGGATTCATCTCGCTGCTGGACCAAAGAGGGGAAGTATGTCGCTTCTGAATCACTGCTGCCATATTTGGCTCAACAACTACATAATTTGGGTCACAGTGGTCCAGCAACGATGAATCACAGGTTCTCAAATCAATGGTGGAATTCAAAATTCAGAAAGGTAGCCACCGAAACAGTCAAGAGATGTGTTACATGTCAGAAAAATAATGATGTGCCTACAGCAGCAACACATACCCCAGCTCCACCAGGACCATTTCGTCACCTGCAAGTTGATTACATATCGTTGCCTCCTTGTAAGGGAAAAACTGATGTTTTGGTAGTAATAGACAAGTTCTCGAGATGGATAGAAGCTTATCCTACAGCTGCACATACTGCTAAATGTCTTGTCACTGATTTCATTCCCAGATGGGGATTACCAGATTGCATTGACTCAGACCAAGGTGCACACTTCACAGGACAGGTAGTCAAGGAAGTGTCTAAAATATTGAAGATTAAGTGGAATCTTCACTGCCCATACAGGCCACAAGCATCAGGACAGGTTGAATGAGCAAACAGAACAATCAAAACCAGGCTAAGCAAAATGCATCAGGAAGGAGTACCGTGGGTCGAAGCACTGACAGCGGTACTGTGTAGTATGAGAGCATCACCTAACAGATCAGTAGGACTGAGCCCTCATGAGATTATTACTGGACGCCCAATGCAGATGCCAGGTGTGATTGATCTTAGAAATGCTGATGTACACATTGCCTCAGATGCCCTGATCACTTACTGTGAAAACCTCACAAAGGCAGTACAAAGTGCCAGAGAGAGAGTTGAGTCGTGTTGGCAGACTCCACCAGAAGGGGGACACACAATCATCCCAGGTCAGTGGGTCATGATAAAGTCATTCAGAAACAAACCGTTAGAGCCTAAGTGGCACGGACCACATCAAGTGATGTTGATTACAGCAGCTGCAGTGTTGTGTCAGGGAAGGAAAACCTGGACTCATGTTTCACATTGTAAAGTTGTTCCTCCACCTACAGGGATAGGATAGGATACACGGATCAGTGAGGAGCCCAGGAAAGAACCGAATGCAACAGGCTTCGGGGGCCAATCCTGGGTGAAGAATCCCTCATAGGCCTTCCCCATCCACTAGTCCATCCTTACCTCACTGTTTCTTTAGGTGTCGCAGGAATTAAGAAATAGGGAAAGAAGGAACAACAATAGCAGACTCAGATCGAACAAAGGATACAACCCTAGTGTTTGCAGTCTTTTACAACAAATACTGCTCTGTCGTCTTTTGTTTTCTTTCTTACTCTGTGCAGATACCACTTGATGGCTGTCCCGAGACCCATACGCACCGACCTCATCACCTGTGTATGAAGCCACCACCTCTGAAAGACAACTAGACCCCCTACCGAGCCAACTGTCCCGGAAAATATATATATATTTTTTAATAAAATAAATTTAAAAAAAATTTACATTTAAAAAAAGTAAACAATAAAATTAAATACACAACGCAGAGAATCACATACGGGAACTTCAGTCATCCATCAACATGATCAAGATTGCCATACTAGTAATCATCATGGACATCGCACAAAGTATAGACTCCAGAAACAACATATTCTTAGAGCTGATGAATATGTCAAGAAATGCCTTGTTTGCTGGAAAGAACGTTTGCATGCCACATCCACTTTCGGTAGGAGTAGGAATCCCATGGGTAGCACACCCCATTTCTGACTGTGATACTTGCACTCTATTTGGTGTGGTCACTAATGGAATTTTTAACAAAAGCACATGTCATGACTGCTCCTCCAGCCTCACCATGTTGCACTCCAGGTTTAAGGTCCTGCAATTTGACGACAACCACACCTGTTATGACAGACTTACTCTTACCAATGACATTTAGTTGGTGTGTTGAATATCTATCCTCAGACTCTAAAGACTTGGGAAAAATTCCCAGTGCTGCATGTGGTTTCATAATTAAAATGGGAATGTCACTGAAGACAGAAATCTCATCATTCACACAACAAAAGAATGAGGATGTGGAAGTATGTATTAGGCAAACTCGATCATTACCCAAGCTATTTAGTGTGAACCAATGGTGCAGGATTCCCCCTCCAACAGGCATGTTTTGGCTATGCGGATCCTCAATCTATAGTGTACAACCGGCCAAGTTTAATGGCAGGTGCACTTTAGTCTATGCCCTACCTGCAGTCAGAGAAAACTTGAAATCCACTCGAGTACTTTTAAGTGATTCAGCTCCTGCCACGAACACAGAAGATGGCTGCATTCCGGGACTCACTTGTGCACAAACATGGTGGTCAAGAACTCTTGGAACATTAATCCCGTTTTATGGTGTCATGCAGGCCCTTGATCAAGTTAGAAGCTTATTGAATTCTGTACAGAAACTGGCCAATGATACGGCTTTTGCCCTGGGTAACATCACGAACACTCTCGCTTCACACAAGATAATGATCTTACAGAACAGAGTGGCCTTGGATTACATTCTT